TGGGGGCCGCCGGCGGGCCGGGCCGGGCGCACACACCTGCAACACAGCCCACACCTGCTCACCGGGCGTCTTCCCTCCGCTTGGCTTAACTGCCCCTATTCTGTTCACCGTCACACTCAGAAAAACAGTTCACTGATTTTTGAAGCCCCCATGGGTAAACATGCAAAGGTAAGATGCCAACACTCTTACAAGATTAAAAAATAAATACTGATTTTTTTCTTTCTTCCCAAAGCCATAATTCTGTTAAATTAGTTCTCGCAATCCATAGAGTCGAGGCTTTGTGACCCCAGGGAGACGTTTTGGATAAAGCTGGCATTTCAGCAACACTGTCTGAATATATTTGAATTGAAAACCTGATGAAAACATTTAACACCCNGACGGGTGAGGCTGGGTGAGCGGGCCCCGTGAGCCTGAGCCTCCCCCGCCCCCTCCTCCCTCTTCTCTCCCTTTCTTTCTAAAACCAGCGTCACTGAGGCATACCTGACACGTGACAAACTGAATATATTTAAAATGTGCGGTCTGGAAAATTCCGACATACGTCCACACCCACGAAACCGCAGCAAGCAAGACACTGAACCTGCCCATCACCCCGAGATTCCCCGCCACCCCCTTCCCTGCAGCGTGGCCCTGCTCTCCGTCACCACGAGTTCGCCCGCGTTTCCTAGGGTTTCACGTAAGCGGCGCCGCAGAGCCTACGCTCCCGTCCGGCTTCTCTCCCTCGGCACCGCTGTTTCGAGGTTCACGGCGATGTTGCGCGTGTCACCCCGCTTCTTGCCGCTGGGCCGCGGTCCGTCGCGTGACTACACCGAAGCGGTTTACCGGTCACCTCCTGGTGGGCGTCTGGGTCACCCCCGCCCTGGGCTCCCCGAAATGAGGCCGCCCTTGCTCTAGCCTCCGTGTGGGGATGGACGGTGGTGAAGCGTGTCGGGAGCGGGGCCCACCCTCTCCACTCGCTCCATGAGAGAGATGAAAAGTTTACTGCGCTAAATATGTGAAACGATTTTCTCGACACTAATACTGTTCATAGCTACAACGTGGCCTCTTGTCAGGTGAGTCCAATAGCTGAGAATTCTTGTGGCCACATCAAGACTTGGTAGAGAAACTACGTGTCAGGGTGAACTCTGGCAACAATTGCCCGGGGGGCAGGGACGTTACAAGGCAGGAGGGAGCCGGGGGTACTCAGGGTTCAGGATCCAGCCCACGGCCACCACAGGGTGGACAGAGCGTCCGCAGGGCTGCGTAACTCTCAGAAAGACCAGGTGGCCAAAGAAGCTCACCCCAACCCCGTGGGTGGCATCCGAGGAGGGGCCCAGCACTGGGACCTGCTTGGGTGGCAGACCCAGTGGCCTCCTGGGAGTCTGGCTGGTCTAGGGGACTGGAGGGGTCACAGCTCACCATGACCTCACGACACATCACGCTGGACACTGCCTGCCCAGCAGGACCTTGCAGAGCTCCCACGGGCACTGCGACCTCCCTCCAGCCCCGGCCACCACCTGGGTGAGCCTCTGCTGAACGGCGCCTCTGGCTCAGCGTTTCTCAGGGCCCCCGGGGGCCTAGCGGAGTGAAGCGTGTCCTCACCTGCCCGCTGACTTACCCTGGGCGTGTCGGCCTGTGCTGGCTTCCTCGTCGGACCCGTGCTGGGGCGCGGGCGGTGAGCCTGCCCGGGCTGGGG